CTAGAGCACAGGCTCAGTAGTTGTGGCCCACGGGCTTAGTTGCTCCGCGGCATGTGGGATCTTCCCAGGCTAGAGCTTGAACCCGTGCCCCCCGCATTGGCAGGCAGATTCTTAACCACTGCGCCACCAGGGAAGCCCAGGATGGTCTCTAAAGCACGTATCTGATCATGTTACTCAGTATGACCTTTAAGACCCTTCATGATGTAGCTCCTGCTTCTCTCTCCAGCCTCATCCCTTCCTTTTACTCACCATGCTGCATCCACATAAACGACCTCCCAGTTGCACCTGGATTTGTCTAATAAATGCCCTCTCTAACTCAAGTCTTTGTGCCTGTGCACACTCTGTTCCCTCTCCCACCTTCCCTATTCCTTAGTGTCTGATTATTTCCTATTCTTCCTTTAAGAGTCAGCTCAGGTGTGACCTGAGAATCATGTCTGGGAATCGTCCTTTATCCTCTAGTCTTGATTAACTGCTCCCGCTTTCTGTCCCCCATAAAACTATGTGCTTATCCCACTCTTATCTTCACACAGTAATCCTCTGTTTCCTGGTCTTTCTCTCCCATTGACTGAGTTTCATGAAGGCAGAAACTGTCTTCCTCTGTATCCCTGGTTCATTATACTCAATAAATGTTTAATGAATGGATGGAAGCTGGCATCAGAAGCTGTTTCTTGGCTTTGGGAAATCTTTGAGCCTAATAGAATTCATTGAGATACTAATCTAGGAGTTCTTGTGTGCTGATTACAGTGCTCTTGAGGCAAAAATTCGGAAAGTTTACAGAGGTCACAAGCCAGCTGCACTAAGGAAACTAAATACAGGCAGACCCTGCTTTGGTTTTCTTAAATTTTTTGGTCTGCTCCATTGGCTGTGCTAAAAATAGCGTCTAATAGAGATTCTATTAGTGATCTCTCAATTTGAAGATTGTTTGGGAATAAAGCTGCACCCTGCAGTTTAGTGCACCCTGCCTGGGCAGCACAGGATTTGGGAGGCTCTGGTCGTCCTTTCCCTGGGCCCATGCAGCCTGAAGAGGAGGTGCTGGATCAGGAGTCCCGTCAGGGTGTCTCAAGACACATGCCTGCGTCAGGAGTGGGCAGTGTGTGTGGCAGACTGAGCTGTGACTCTCAGAATCCCCTGGAGGGTGAAGCAGGCATGCCTCAAGTCCAGATTAACTGGAACAGTCAGTGACAGCAATGGCCTGCCCCTCCTGGAGGGTGGGAGAGAGGGATTGGGGGCAGTAAGTGATTGTCAGTGAGGACATCCTCAGGTGAGGCTTAAATCAGCCAATGTGCTTGGTTGAACTCCTGCAGTGTCGCACACGGAGGAGATAACAAAGTTTGTAACTGTAAAATAGAATGTTGAGACATACTCTTTGTTAATAGAGATATTACTATATTCCATTTTTCATCTTGAGCCACTCACCTTTAGTTTTAACTGCTTCCTGTTTCTGCCAGCCCATAGAACCCTGGTATTTTGCCCTCTTGACACAGGAGTGCCATCTGTGGCAAAAGAGAATGACTATAGGTAGTACAGTACATAGGGATACAATCCAGGCTTTGTTTGTTTGTTTGCCATCTGCTTCCCAGAGCTTTCTCTAGGAATGCATTATGGTGAAAGTGAGAATTGGCTATATAGCCATAGATTTGTATTCATGGCACAAAGCTGAAAGTTGCCACCATCCTGATGGTAGGGGCAGTATGCTATCTGGAAACAGGCAGGGACAGGGAAAGCCAAGACAAGAAAGCCAGCACCCGCTTTGGAATGTTCATCTGAGTCAACCTCCTGATTATGTTAAAGAAGAGTTGTAATGTCCATTAATTTCAAGGCTTTGGGCTGCCATGGGGGACACATGGTAACTACTTGAATATTTTGTTAGTTATCTATCAGCCCCACTGAGTATTAAATGGCAAGAGAAAATTTTACCAGTTTTAGTCTTCTGATCCTTTCATGGCTTTCCCAAACCAGTCTTGGGGTCAGTATATGTGGAAAATGGCCAAGAATTGACAGGAAAGCTAAGCAACCATCTGTGCACTACACGGAGATAACTGCTAGGACAGAAGAAATGATATAAGGACCTCCTCAGATGAGGCTAAAATTAGCTAGTGTGCTTGATTGAACTCCTACAGTGGGCTTGGCATTGGGAGCAAGGAAAGATCCCAAATAAATAAAAGGCATAGTCCTTGCCCATGGTGAGTACACAGTTAACTTGGGGAGACGGTAAATATACAGACTTACAAAAGAAGAAAAAGCTCCATAACGTAGTGCCACTTGAGTGGTTCAGATAATTCAGGGTGCTTTATGTAGCATGCCAGAAAATAGAAATAAGTGTTAACACTGGATTCAGATTTTGAACCAAGACTTTAGCATGAGAGCTTAGCAAAGGAGCAGACCAAAGGACAGTGTATGCATGTTCTGGGGCAAGGGATATCTTTCAGCCACTGCTCGACTCACAGTTGGTAATCATTTAGCCAGCAACAGTTCCAGTCATGAAGGAAAGCAAGATAAATGTATGGTATAAATTCAATTCAGAATCTGGGCCAAAGCCTGTTACTTAAGCTTTAAAGCAGAGTATCATCTGGAGCTGAAGGAAATGACACCTGAACTGGAGACAAGATAAAAACTAGGAAGACTTGGGGAAGGTCTAAATTTCTGGAAGTGATGGCAGCGGAACCAGAAGTCTGTCTACCACAAATTACCAAGGTTAGTGGGATCTGATCTTATTAGCTGGGCAGGTGTCCCCTCCTGCCTCAGGAATCCTCGGGAATCTGTCTGCCTGGGTGGTTGAGGCAGGATGAGCAGGGAGGATGGCTAGTGGGCGACTTTGAGACCGAAGTTGAGGCCAAAGTTGAGCCAGGCCCTCCCCCTGGGGTGTGAGCGCTCTGGGTCAGGGGCAGGGCTCATCTGCGGAGCACCCGGAGCACCACGCCTGGCTCATTAGTGGATGTCTGGGGAGGTCTTTGAAGATGAAACACTCCATAAGCACTCACTGTTTCTGTTTTCTGGACAAACTAGTACTTTGGTCTCCAGGAGCTGTTGATCTGGCTCCTTTGTACTGGTCTGGAATTCGCTGCAAACTGAGGAGAGTAGGAAACAAACAAACCTGAAATCGTTTTTGAAAAAACAACTAAACTCCCACCAAACCCCGCCATGCTTTAGCTTGTAAATAGGATTCCTCCCCATCCACCTTTCACATTCTTGGGTTTGGGTGCACTCTGTCTTAACCTGTTCTTTCGCCTACTGGGTTTGGGGTGTGCGTGTGTTTATCTCTGGTTCCTAGACTCTGTAGAGAACGCCAGCCGCTGGCATATGGTGATTGCTGAATAAGCTGCCCACTGATGCCTGTCTCCCGCAGGCCCAGAGAACTGGCTGGCACGGGTGATTCTGAACCCCTGTTTCATTGTTGTTTCAAAGATTCATTTCTGTGGCTGTCCTGAGCCATAGAGAAGGGAGGGAAGAAGAGAGGGAATGAATGACTCTGATTCTGTCTGTCGGGGGCAGTGGATGGGGTGGGCAGATAGGCATTTTGTATTTCTGTAGTGTTCTAACTGCTCCCTTCACCTTTCCCTATTATGTAGCAGGCAGAAATGTCTAACCTGAGTGAACTGCTAGTCAGGTCAGTAGAGACCTGGGAGTTAGTTCAGTTATTCAGCTACTGTGTGCCAGGTACTAGTCAAGGTAGGGAACACAGCAGGGAGCAAAATAGATAAGGAGCTGACATTACAGTAGGAGGAGAAAAACAGTACAGCAGGAAACAAATACGTAACGTGTGAGATGGTGATAAATGCTATGAAGAAAAATAAAGTGGGATAAATGGTGTAGAGAGTGGTGTGTGTGTGTGTTATAGGTGGTTATGGAAGGCCTCTTTGATAAAGTGATGGTCGAGCAGATGCCCGAAAGAAGTGAGGGAGTGCTCCCTGAAGGTGGTCTGGGAGAGGAGCGTTCCAGGCAGAGTGAATAGCAAGGACAAAAGCTTTGAGGCAGGAAAGTATTGGGGAACTGAAGTGGAGTATACACAGGGGAGAGTAGGAGATCTGATGAGAGAAACGGGAATGCAGATTGTGCTGGACTTTATAGGCCATGGTATGGCTTTGGGCTTTACTGAAAAGGAGCTATGAAGCCCAGAGAGGGTTTTGAATAGAGGATCAACATGACCTGGTTTTGGCTTTAAAATCAGTCTGGCTGCTCTGTGGAGAATAGACTGAAGGGGGTTAGAGCAGAAGCAGAGGATGAGCTGACTGCCTCATTGCAGGTGGCCATGTGGAGCAGCTGTCCTGGGACGGGCCACGGCGAGCCTAGGACCTATGTGGCTGAGGAATGAGGGGCAGCCTCTCGCTACCCCATCTCGCAGCTCTCAGTGCACTGTTGTATGAACAGGGTATGACGTTAGCAGCTGGCATTTCACAGAGTGGAAAAGATCAGCCTCTTTTAGGAGTGCTGCTTTCTTATTTCTTCCTCATTAATTTTGGTGTGTAGAAGGAAGGTGCAGAAATATAGGAAGGGAAGAGCAGAGTGTCTTGATTAGAGCTGAGAGCATAAACCTTGGGAACCTGGCAAGCCTGAACCTCGTTAGGAGTCACAAAGAGCCACTCCTCATTCCACTCCCTCCTCTCCCACCCTTTGCAGAAGTCTCAGGGTAAGGTTGGGGGAGGGAGAGGCATTAATGGTCTCCCAATGCCTTGGGGTATAGAGTAGAATTTCAGGACTGAAGGGACTTTAGAAATCATCTAGTTCAACCCCCTCCATTTACAGGTGCAGATAAGGACAGGTGAAATAACTCATCCAAAGTCACATGGGTGGATTACTGGCAGAAACAGGGGTCCTGAATGTTCACTGCTTTATCTCTGCTCCCAAAGGCTTAGGATGTGTCTGAGTGGGCCTTGATCTTCTTAGTACCCTCAGGCTCTCAGTTTGTCATGAAGGAACTCCAGCCATGACTTTAGCCAGTGCCATTAATGTGAAATCCTGACAAGCAGATGGTGGTAATAAGTTGGCATTTCTTTGCCTAGGATCAAGTCCTCCATACCAGGGACCAAGCCAAAACCAGACTGCCACTGCCCTCACTGCGCCCTCCTGCCCTCAGAAGGCGGCTGCTGTGATCATGGGTAATATCTTTGGAAACCTTCTCAAGAGCCTGATTGGGAAGAAGGAGATGCGCATCCTGATGGTGGGCCTGGATGCCGCAGGAAAGACCACCATCCTGTACAAGCTAAAACTGGGCGAGATCGTCACCACCATCCCCACCATTGGTAAGGGCACAGCTTGGATGTAGGCTTTCATGCCAACTGCTGAGCCAGACAGGGGGCCTATTCCTAGATCCCCCACCTGGCCACCAGGCAAGTCCTTGCAGTTTGTGGGGTTCAGGGAAGAATGGTTATTTAGCTTACTAGCAGGTGCTGGGGCTGCTGTTTGCCTATCTACCCTGACCCTCTCTAATGCGGGAACTTCAGCCTGGCACCTGACAGTGGCCCTCAGGCACTGAGCTGGTTTGTTCTCTGTTGTTTGAAAAGCAGGTGAAGGGCTTTAATGTTCCTGCCAGAGGCCTGGAATTGCTTCAGTTTAGATCCTTGGTGGCCCTGATCCAGGTTAAGACCTGTCTGCAGGAGAGAGAACATTTGCCTTGTAAAGGCGGCTCCAGATCATCATCAGCGGCTGGTTCTGTATTTGGGGCTCCAGGACTATAGCTCACTTCTTGTTCTTCACTCTGCCTCACAGGCCCCACTTCTTAGCTGAGGCAGACTCTGGTAGCCAAGGTACAGGAGTGGGGCTGATCATTTCTTTTGCAGGAGGGAGAGTCAAAAACTGAGAGAACGAACGGGGAAGGTTATCTCACCCAGGTGATTGTGAACTTCCCGACTGGCCCTCTTCGTCCTCTTCCACTTCTCGTAGGCTTTCTTTTTGGCCTTTACACCACTAAGTCAAGGAACACCAGGTCTGAGGAAGCCTTAGCTTTCTTTCCCTTGCTAGGGCATGGCCATGGCTGGGGGAAACAAACAACCTACTGGGGCATCGTTTGCAGGCCTGGTGTTTCAGGCCAAGTGACCATTGTCTGTTTTTGCCAAAGGGTTCAACGTGGAGACAGTGGAGTACAAGAACATCAGCTTCACAGTTTGGGATGTGGGTGGCCAGGACAAGATTCGGCCTCTCTGGAGACACTACTTCCAGAACACCCAAGGTAGGGCTTGTGAACTGCCCACGGACTGACATGGGTTGGTTGGGTGTGAGCAGAGAGTATGGCTATTGTTCTTGGTTATCGGTAACCAGCTTTTGCCCTGCTGCAGTTCCTAGGGGTGAGAGACAAGGAGAAAAGGGAGCAGATATTTGGAGGGTATAAGGAGGGTGTTATCTTTTGATGGTGGGGGAGGGGAGTTGATCTGTCGTCTCTGTGCAGCCCATGTTCTGCCTCCCTAGGGTTGATATTTGTGGTCGACAGCAATGATCGGGAGCGAGTAAATGAGGCCCGGGAGGAGCTGATGAGGATGCTGGCAGAGGATGAGCTCCGGGATGCTGTGCTCCTTGTCTTTGCAAACAAGCAGGTGTGACATCTCCCTACCCCTGGGTTTGAGAGAGGGCAGCCTGGCCGTGGAAATCGTGGGGTCTTGGGGCCCATTGTGTGGGAAGCCCCATGACTATGCTCTCAATTTTGAAAGTGTGGGAAATATGATTAGTTGGCTTCTTTATGCTCTTCTTCCTGTCCCCACCCCATCCCAGCTTTAATTAGCAACATTTCTGTCCAGAGGGACTGGTGCGGTAGATCCCTCACCTCCTGTCCCTCTTTTATCTTACCTATTGTCTACTTTGGTGGAACTACCCTCACTCTTATGGTCAGACAGACCTGATTGTACGCCCAGTCTGAATCACATCTCCACTTCCCTGCCAACCCATATTTGGTTTCCGCCTCCTCAGTGGAATGATCTTTAGTGCCTTGGATCCGGAGTTCTAGGATGATTAAATCCAAAGTAGTTCTTTAGGATCTTGCTCTGGGTTCCTACACTGAAGGAGGAGGAGAGGGTGCTAGTCTACAAGTCTTTGGTAGATGGTTGCTCTAGAAGCCTTCGAAAGATCCTGAAGCTCCTTTTTGTGTGTCTCCCTTGTGCTCCAGGATTTGCCTAATGCTATGAACGCTGCTGAGATCACAGACAAGCTGGGCCTGCATTCCCTGCGTCACCGCAACTGGTACATTCAGGCCACCTGTGCCACCAGCGGGGACGGGCTGTACGAAGGCCTGGACTGGCTGGCCAATCAGCTCAAAAACAAGAAGTGAGAGCCAGACAGCCCTGTCCGACCACCCCACCTACCCTTACTGTCTCCCTGCCCCAGCCCTGCCCTTTCCTTCCTGTTGCCCGTGTGGCCAGGGCCCTGGGTATCATGTCCGCATGCCCGACAAGAGCCCTGCCTCTCCTTCCCTCCCCTCCCCCACCCATGACCAGTCCCCAGTTGCTGTCGTAATGATGAATCATTCCAATTTACCGGATTTAAAACAAAAACAAGGTTGTTATGGTTTCATGGGGTGCCCCCCTCCCCAAGCTCTGGGGTTGGGAGGTGGGATGGGGTATTCTCTCCAGTTTGCTTCGTTTGGCTCCGGTTGGTGTGCTCTTGGCATCTGAGTCCCTTCTCTCTCCCCATAGGCCCCTCTCCTGCTCCCCGTCTTCCTTTCCTTTGCCGCTCTCCCCCTGTTCTACATGGAAATTGCACGGGCCTCTCTTTGTGTGCGTGCATGTGTGCGCGTGTATATACCTGTATAGAGAGATATATAACGGGGGCCAAGGAGCAGGTGGAGGGTGGAGTGCAGCTCAGGGCTTGGAGCCAGCACACTGCCCACTCTCGCCTATCATCTTCCCCTCCCATGTTGGTGAGATAAAGGGAAGGAGGGGGAGGGAAGGCTGCCCCAGTCCTGCACTGGTTCCTCTCCTCTGCAGGTAGGTGTTTTCCTGGATGATAGGACAGATGATGGGCTTTCCGCCACCATCTTCCTTTATCCCGCTCCACCCCGCTTAGGGCAGGGGGGTGGCATTTATCTCTAGATGACTGTTCCCAAGGAGATGCCATTCTGCCCTGCCTTTTAGTGGGAAGGAGAGAAGAGGAACCCACTCACTCTTACCAGCTCAGAGTGTTCAGCCGATCCTCCCCCTCATCCTTAAATCTGTTCCTCAGGAGCTTTAGGTGGGAGGTGGGGATAGGTAGCAAGACCATGGGGTGTATTTGGGACCCAGGGCACTGGGGAGAGGGGCTCAGGTTTTCCATCTTCATCCTCTTTTGTTATTAGGAGAAGGTGATACACAAATCAATCCTATTCCTGCCTTCCTATCCCCCCATCTTCTGATCTTGGGGCTGGGTGGTTCATCTGTCCTTTGTCAGAAGCTTCCTCACCCTGGTAGTTGTGCTGGTCTGACCAGAGCTGGCTGGCTGGTTTAATGAGGAGCGGGGAGTGGGGGTGACATAGCAGACCTCAGTATCAATCCCCCTGTTCTCCAGTTCTCTCTAGTCCAGGATGTGCTGAAGGGTGAAAATTTTGTTTCCAGACCCTCAGACCATCCTGCTGTCCCCTCTCTCCATCCCAACAGCTTTTCCCTGCCCTCTTCACCCACTTCCCATAAATGGGTCTGGGCGTTGGAATGGCGGGAATAGGACTCTGAAGTGGTTGTTGGTGCTGGTGGGATGCGGCGGTCTTCAGAGTCCTCCCTTCATTATTATGTAGTTGTTCAGAAGCTGCTGCTACTATGTCTCTGTCTACAGGAGGCGCTTGTCCCTGAGATCCTGGCCTGGGTCCTGACTTCTGCGGTTTCTGTGAAGCCGTGGCTTTTCTGTGGGCTCCTGTGTGTGCTGGCTGCGCCCTGAGCTCCGACAGCCGCCCGTAACCTTTCTGCTAACGTCAGGGCCCAGGGCCTCCACAGCGTGGCTGGGGGACCCCTTCCCAGAAGGGCTGTCCCAAGCCCCACCCCATGGGACTAGGCTTCCTGTCACCTTTGTCTACAGCAGGAGGATCAATACCCCCCACCCCACCCCAGACTGAACTGTGAAAGAGAGGTTCCAGGGGTGTCTCCCTCAGTGCCAGCTCCTTAGTGATGTGTTACTTACCCAACGTGCAGCGGGTGTATGCAGGTCTCTTGCTCTCTAGGCCTTGTATGTGTGTATGCGTGTGTATGTGTGTTTGGTGGGGGGAGGGGGGTGCTGGAGCTTCTGTCTCATTTTAACATGCACTCATTCCCCTGACCCCACAGATGCTTCCCGCCACACTTTTTCTTTGCCTCTGTCTCTATTTTGCCAGATTTTTTTTGCTCCTGCCCCTGTTGCCTCTCCCTCCCTGAACCCTTTCCTTTGCCTTCTCAACTTAGTCACTGCTGTTGCCTATTTGTCTCCCCTTTCCTTGGTTCTTTCCTACTTAGGATTCTTCACTCTGTACCTTTGTGGTTGGTGAGGACTTTGCCTCCTCTCCTGCCTCACGCCCTCACTGACCTTGCCTAGGTAGATGCCAGTCCCAAATGGGTTTTTCTCATTTTAGACCCACCTCCACCTTGGTTTGGGGGGGCTTCAGGGACTAGTGGGGCTGAGGGTGTTAGGAAGCAGCCTTAGAGGTTATGTAAGTGCTGCTTGGGGATCTTTCCAGCAGGGGGCAGTAAGTGATCTTGGTAGTATCCCAGGCTGCTAGGCCTTTGGCAGGGGTGGCCCTTTCTACATTCCCATTCACCTGAAAGCTCTTTTGGGGTTGGGTGTTTCATTCCATTTCTGCCCACTCCCTCCCCCACTCTCCTCTGGTAGGTTTAATTGTTTGCTTTCCTTTGTTCCAGCCTTTCTTCTCCCTGGGGATTTCCCCTAAATTCCCCCCTAGAAGTTTGTGGTGTTACAGTGGTAACTGCAGTTCTGAACTGGTTTTTCTCTTCTTTTTTCCTCCTCTGGAATGTAGACTGTATATGTTTAATAACTCCCCTTCTCTCTCCTTGCTCAAAATGTGGGATACGCGATGACTGTGACCCTGGTTGGAAATTAAACTTGTTTTATGCAGCTCTGGAGCAGATCTTCATCCTTGATGGGCAGCAGCCATGGGACAGTGTTTAATGGTGAGGGTACTTTCTGCTTCTGGTCCCGCTCTCCAGACTGCTCTTTCTCTCAGCAGCGGGGTAAAGCGTACGCTTGACTGGGGAGAGTGAGGTTATAGAGGAACTTAGGTTCATCTCCACACTGCTTACTATTCCCCATCGTACCCCAAAAGGGAGCTTAAATGAATTGGGCCCCGGAGTGTGAGGGCTTCGTGACTTTGCCTTTCTAGTTGTAAAGGGTTTAACCCTGAACTTAGCCATATTTATCACCTTTTAGTAGACATTAGGGACTTCGTTAGCTAGAGGGCCCTGAATTTGGAGTGCCCCACACTGCCTCCACTCTCAGATCTCCCCAGGCCTGCACATCAGGTGCTTCTAGCTGGAACAGGGTCCCCTCACCCATAGACTGGAGTCTGCTCACCCATCTAGTTCTGGATTTTGGCAGTGAGTAAGCGTGAAGGGTAGAGGTCTGGGTAGTATAATGAACTTGATCCTCCTGACAGCCGATGGCCCTGCGTCACCTCTGCTTTAGGTGTGTGGTTCCCCATTGTCAGGAAGCCAAGCCTCATCCAGAGATAATGTTTCGAGGCAAAAGACAAGCCTCTGTCCTCCCATCCCACTCCCACCACTGCTGTGTTCCTCTCCTGCTATTACTCAGGCGAAGAAAGGGGTGGGGGTGGGGTGAGGTCTGGGTGAGCCCGGCAGGTCTTCCCGACTCTTACCACTTTCTTCAGCTTTGAGGACAGAGGTCTTCCCAACCCGATGATATGGGAAAGGGACAGGATTTAGGCATATAATAGGTCTGAGAGCCGCAAGTTCCAGTGTGAAGTATATCATTTGTATTCAGTTACCTCCCTGCTGCCTCCCCTGGTAATTCTCCTTTTCAGCCCCTCTCTTGCTATTAAAATAAGCCATCACCCTCAAGGACCAGTGCTTCTGCCCTTATGAAACCCTTAAACTGCTCCAACCAGACATCACTTTATTAACCTCTTAAGCTTTGAACACTACCCACTTGCCGCTCAAAATCAGATGATGCTTTCCTGCTTCTAGGCTCCTCAGAAGTCCTGCTTGGTGACCGAGGTGACTGATAAGTTAGGAGCACTTTCCCAAGCACGTTATTTGTGTACTAATAAATAGATAACTTCTAGAGCTACAACCTCGCATAAGATCATGATAATGGAGAGGACTTTAGCTGGATGGCAGGCCAGTGGGGGTCTTTCGACCCCTGACAACTTGGGGAAGAGGATGACCTAGTCCCTCTGTCCCTCAGTAGGCAGTCTAGGATGCCAGGAAGGAGGTGGAGGGAGCTCTCTTGTGGCTTTTTCTTAAACCTTCCATCTTTTGGGGTTGGGGGGGACATGGGGAGATGAAAGGGAGACTTAACCTGGAAGGTAAATGTTCAGCATCCAGCTCTTAGGACAAACAGCGACCTTGTCTTCCCAGAAACACGAATAGCTCTTCATTCATGGCTTGGCAGAGGATCTGGGCCTAGGATCCACTTCAGGATAATCTGGGCAAGGGAGCTTCTAAAATGAGGCTGGAGAAAGCCATTGGAAGTACTTGGATTGGTCCAGGTGGGATGGAGGCAGTGACAGGGAGAATGAGTGTGAGTATGTCTGACTTTTTCAGACTAGAGGTATAAGGTCTGAAGGCTTCGGGGAGTCACTGCATCATTTCCAGTTTCAAGTACCTAGACTGGTCAAAGCAGAAAACTGACAGGTATTTATTTTATACCTTCTGTGTTTCCAGACATGTGCTAAGAATGGAGTCAAACCACAGTACTGAGGGAGAGACCAGGGAATCTATTTCTGAGATACTCTGGAATCCTTGGGATAAGCGTAGAGTACCACGTGGGGTAGTGAGAGTCGGGGAGTAAGTGTGTAGGGGGGATATCCCCTTGCTGCTCGCAGCAGGGAGTGGTGTCTTTGAGCAGGCAGTTATACTACCGAGAATAGTCTCTTTCCCAGTTCAGGAGGGTGTGGAGGTAGAAGGGTCAAAGTCCAGTTTTCTACTTTCTAGCCTGGTAACTGGAGGTTAGAGTATCAGGCTGGTCACTGGGGAGTCATAGGATCCAGGTGCCTTTTTTCCTCTGCAGGTTTTTCATTCAAATTAGGTTTCCTGGCCCTGATTACTGGGATGGGTAAGGATGACCCTGAGTTCCTGAGCAAAGGGAAGAAAGGGTTAGGCCTGAGGAAATCTGAGCCTTGAGTGTGGTAAAGGGCGCGGTGCTGCTGAAGGCAGTGGTTGGAGGTCTGGAAGTGAGGAACCTGGGCCAGGACTGTTCACCACCAAGCCTTGAAGGTAAGTGTCTCCTTGTTTGTGTCACTATGGCCATGAGCTGCAGAAGAGAGTATCTGGGCTCTCTCTGGCTTAGGAGCAAAGCTGGCTTCTGAGCTGAATGTGGTGGAGTAGAGAGGGTGCCTCGCAAGCCGGAACTCTGGCTCTCTGTTCCCAGAGCTGACCAGTTCTGCCCATGCACCCTTCCTGCCCCGACTCTTCCTCCAAACCAGGTGCATTGAGAGCTGTCTCTGAGGAGGTCTGGACAGTGAGTCTGGGCCAGGCAGGAGGTTTGAGAATGAACTTGGCTACCTGGCACTTCCTCCCACAAGTG